CACAGAATTTGTTCCTGATTCCAGCCTAACCTAAGGGACAATTTAAAACAAGCAAGTAGCTGTCTAGTGATTACCCCTCACCATCTCAGACCATGAAAGTGAGGAGACACTGCAGGTAAGGGCAAGAACTTACTCAAATGTGACTCTGGCACCTTAAAACCTGTTTATTGATTGGCTGAGTTGACAAGAGAAATAACCCTTAAAAAACTCCAAATATCACCAGGCATTGGTGGCTCAAGCCTTTAATTCCAGCACTAGGGAGGCAGCCGCAGGTGGATCTCTGTGAGTTCAAGGCCAGCCTAGTCTACAGATCGAGTTCCAGGACAACCAGGGCTACAAAGAGAAACCCTGTCTCAAAAAACAAAACAAAACACAAAAACCCAAATATCCTATTAATCAAAAAAAGATGATTCCTAATGGCTTGGTTCTCTAAGCCACTTTACTTCCTAGTAAAATCCGAAACAGAAGACCAGGTATGAGTAAATGTTGACTTCTTGTATTCCAGCTCCGTGAAGTGGCCTGAAGTACTCCAGTTTGACCAAGCCTGCTTTGTTCCCTCACAGCTCTGGGCTCCATGAAAGCCTTCCATTACCTGAATCAGGTTCAGGAACAGCAGTCATATGATCAAGTTATGCAAACAGAAGGTGAACGAGTCTAATTTTCACCTCTTGTTCATCCAGGCAGAAAAGGAAAATCAAGGGAGAAACTGATGCTTCTTGAAATTTCAGCAGCCTAGCCCAAGAACAACATTCACTGGCTGATAATTAAGCTGGTCTAGGAATACACAGAAAAGTATCCAAAATAATAATGAGTTTCTGACAGGGCTAAGTTTACTATTTAGAATTTATTTTTGTTTTATGTGTATGTGTGTTTTGCCTCCACTACGTGTATACCACTTTTGCTCATGATCCCTGGGGAGCTAGAAGAGAGTGTTGAATCCCCTGGAGCAGGACTTACAGGTTGGAATCTGCAGTGTGTATTAAGAACAGAACCTGATTCTCTGAAGAACAAGTGCTCCCACCCACTGAGCCATCTCCCCAGCACCAAGAATCACCATTTTTGAGGTTATATTTTTACCAAGTTTCTTTTTTTTAATGTTATTTATTTCATAAATGATAATTTTTTCTTTTTGGTTTTTCAAGACAGGATTTGTCTGTGTTGCCTTGGTTGTCCTGGAACTCAATCTAGTCCAAGCTGGCCTCGAACTCACAGAGATATGCCTGCCTCTGCCTCCCCAGTGCTGGAATTAAAAGCATGTGCCACTGCATGGCTGTTTTAAATGTTCTTTTTTTTTTTTTTTTTTTTGGTTTTTTCGAGACAGGGTTTCTCTGTATTGTTTTTTTTTTTTTTTTTTGGAGGCTGTCCTGGAACTCACTCTGTAGACCAGGCTGGCCTCGAACTTACAGAGATCTGCCTGCCTCTGTCTCCCGAGAGCTGGGATTAAAGGCGTGCGCCACCAACACCCGGCTTAAATGTTCTTAATTCACCAAACCAGAAGTAGAGGACATTATATCAAGTCCCAGGGATTTAATTTATTATTCTGCAAAATTATGAAGTCTGGAAACCACTGAGCTTCTTGGCATATTACATAGCGTTCCTGGAAAAGCAGCAGTTTCAAACAAGTGAAAATTGAGTGTAGATTTGGCAGGCAAATCCCTGTGAGTTCAAGATCAGCCTGGTCTACACTGCAAGTTCCAAGACAGCCAGGGCTACATTGAGAAACCCTGTTTTGTAAAACAAAAGACAAACAAATGGTCCCCATAGGCCCACTGGGAGTGGCCTACTAGGAGGTGGGGCCATGTTACAGTAGGTGTGGCCTTGTTGGAGGAAGTGTCTCACTTGGAGTGGATTTTGAGGTTTCAAATGTAAATCATCCCTGGGCGGTGGTGGTGAATGACTTCAATCCCAGCACTCAGTAAGCAGAGGCAGGTGGATCTCTGAGTTCCAGGGAGGCCTAGTCTACAGAGGGAGTTACAGGATGGCCAAGGCAACACAGAGAAATCATTTTGAAAAAAACAAACAAAAAAATGCTCAAGTCATGTCTGCTGCCTGCGGTAGATCTGGATGTGGAACTCTCAGCTCCTTCTCCAACACCATGTCTGCCTGCAGTGTTTCCATGTCCAGCTATGCTGATAATGGACTAAACCTCTGAACTGTAAGCTCAACCCAATTAAATACTTTCTTTAGTAGGAATTGTCATGGTCACGTTATCTCATCCCAGCAATAGAACGCTAAGATAATGGCAGGGATGGAAGGAGGAAGGAAAGGAAGAAAGCCAAAAGAATGTCAACATTATACTTTTCTGCCATTTTGAGAACAAGCTGTCCTGGAGTGCACACTCCTGCTTCTAACATGTTCTTGTAAGAAAACCAGCAAGGTAGGTAAGACCTAACTCCTGAAAGTTGTCCTCTGACTTCCACATATGCACCACAGCATGTGCACATGTGCACGAGAGCACACAGACACAGTCACACAGAAACACACACACAGTCACACACACAGACAGACACACACAAGACGCATTTAGTGTGTGCACATGTATGTAGATGCATGAGTATGTGCACATGTGTGTGTGGGTGCCAGAAGTCAACTTCAAGTGTCTTCCTGGATTGTTCTCTGTTATTTCTTGAGGTAAAATCTCTTGCTGGGTCCTGAGGCTCACCAATTAGGTTAGGCTGACTGACTAGCAAGTACCAGAGATCCATCTATCTGTATACCTAATCAACAATGGATTACAGATGTGCACCACCTCACTCAAGTTTTATATAGTGCTGGGGACCCATCTCAGGTCCTCATACTTGAGGGGCAGACACTTAGCCAACTGAACCATTCTCCCAGTCCCTTCAAGGAACATTTTTGGGTTTTTTACTTTTTTAATTTCAAATATAACTATATTAGTTTTTTATCTGAAAAAATATGGCCTTGACTCTACTTACCCAGTGAGACTATTGGCAGGGCTGAGCAAAGTACGTCTCTAAAATAGTTAAAAATCTCTCTGATTTATGACATGTAAATACACAGATTTTTATAGTGCTAGTCACGCATTACAGGTGTCTGAACTTGTTGGGAATGTTTAAGACTTGAGACATCTGCTGGGCAATGATGGTGCATGCCTTTAATCCCAGCATTTGGGAGACAGAAGCAGGCAGATCTCTGTGAATTCAAGATAAAAAAACAATAAAAAGATTTGAGATATGTTTAGATTGGGAATATGCATATATATGCATACATGTGTAAATCTGTGCTTATATATGCACACACAGAGATACACATGGCTGTGCACACACAAATACATGCATGCAAACACACACACACAGACATGCACATGCATGCACGCACGCACAAGATATTTTGGCGACCCTCCAAGTCTAAACAAGGTGTTCACTTATATGGCATATATGAAATATTAGAAATGCTTTCCAAGGGTAATCAAAAAACTTTGGCTATCTGCATTTTGACTATGACCTGCCACAAGAGGTCCACTGTACATTTTCTTACAAAATTTCATATTCTTGATAATCTCACCTTTCTGATTATGTCATCTTAATTTGTGTTACTTTCCTAGTAAAAGAGAAGACATTTCCCCTGAAGTAACAGACTCCAAGAAGTATCCATTTTTAACCTATTTTTTCACACTTTAACTCTCAGAGATTCAGAAGCAGAAGCCCATATTGATGGTGTTGTACAACTTAACTTATGATAAAGTACATGGAAGGCATGATATGAGCCTACACCATCATCAGTGGTGTCTTTAAAACCCAATGTTCATTAAAGCCATACAGCACAAAACTATGTAGCCATTTCAAAAGTTACAAAAAAGTATTTCAGTATATAGAAATATGGTTAAAATAGGATTAAAAATCATTACAAAACATTAATCTACTATTTTATACATTTTAAAAATATACTCAGACAAAATTGGAAAGATTTGTAATACACACATTTATATGACTATATGTGGGTGATATTTTTATTTTATTTATCTTCCTGAATTTTAAAAAATCCTAATAGAAGTAATGTTTTGTTTTACTTTTTTGGACTTATTTTTTCAGACAGGGTTTTTCTGTGTAGTCCAGATGGGTCTGAAACTCTAGATCCTCTTTTGTCTATCTCCTGAGTTGGATGACTGTGGTGATATTTTGTTTGTACTCAACAAATAAAGCTTGCTTGAAGATCAGAGGAATGGGCTAGCCATTAGTTAACCATAAAGGTCTGGAGTTCTGTACCGACAGGAGGTGATAAGGCAGGGTGGAGTGAGGAGCTCAGTCTCTTTTTGGAATGAGAGTTACAGAAGTAAGAGCTCTAGTGGCTGGCTGCTCTACTTCTCTGATCTTTTAGCTTTCACCCCCTAATATCTGACTCTGGGTTTTTAAGAATAATTTATTTATTTTTGTTTTATTTGCATTGGAGTTTTGCTTGCATGTATGTCTGTGTGAGGGTGTCAGATCTTGGACAGACAGTTGTGAGCTGCCATGGGTGTGCTGGGAATTGAACCCCAGTCCTCTGGAAGAACAGCCAGTGCTCTCAACCTCTGAACCATCGCTGCAGTCCTGACTTTCAGTTTTTATTATTAATATTGAACACAGGTCATCAGACTCGGTGACAGGTGCCTTTACCCTCTGAGCCATCTCACAGGCCTGGCAGTAGCTTTCCTTTTTTTCTTTTTCTTCTCTCCTCTCTCCTCTCCTCATTTTACTTTTGAAACAAGGTCTTTCTATGCAGTCATGACTGTCCTGGAACTCACTATGTAGACCAGGCTGGCATCTAACTCACAGAGATCCACCTGCCTCTGCCTCTCAAATGCTGGGATTAAAGGCATGCGCACCACCACCCAGCCTCAGTAGCTATTTTTAAGATAAAAAGTGATAAAACTATTATATCAAAGTGTAACAATGAACACTGGGTTTGTATTTCCACAATGGATCATCTTTGATCGGAATTGTACTAATATTTGAATGTGACTTCCATGCACAGTGTTGGCGGAGTCTAGGAATGCTCACCTCCCCAACTGTCTGTAGGTTATAGCAGATGCTGTCCTTGTGGGCTGCTGAAGTTCCATAGAGAAGTGCCTTTATGAGCCAGCAGATTCCCAGGAGCAGGTCAGAAAAGCTCAGATAAAAGAGTGATTTTATCTGTCAAATGTCACAAAATCTTAATTCAGTAAGTGATATAGGTAGGAGAAAGAACATACAAATTATCTTTACATTTTATGCTTTGAGTAGAAAAAATTGCTGTCGGTCTGCCAGGGCTTCTGCCATTGACTACTGATAATGTAAAGGAATAGCTGGGCGTTGGTGGCGCACGCCTTTAATCCTAGCACTCAGGAGGCAGAGGCAGGTGGATCTCTGTAAGTTTGTGACCAGCCTGGTCTACAGAGAGAGTTCCAGGACAGCCTCCAAAGCTATAGAAAAACCCTGTTTTGACCCCCCCCCAAAATAATGTAAAGGAAGATTCCTGATAAAAAGGTATCTGTGACCACAGCTACTTCAAAGTCCTGAAGTAAGAGGGCTTGTGAACAGCTTAGCACTCTCACCCATTGGGATACTCCTTCCTCAGCTATAGGGTCTCAGATAGAATGGACAGATGAAAGGTTCACAGTGAGGTATAACATAAATGCTATGCATGCTCAGCCAACATATTCTAAAGTTAGACAATGATGTCACGAGTCTCATGTTTACAGCTACAGTTGAGGACTTAAAAAGGGAGAGAAATGCCAGTATGATACATATGCTACCGTTTGCCTTCTTACTACACTGATGAAATCTTCATATTTTCTTGGTTTTGTATGTATGTATATGAGTATGGCTTGTATGTACGTGTACTCATATTGGAGGAAGAGTGCTCCTGTGCATGGACATGAGGAAAAAAGAGGACTCCTGCTCTGCCACTCTCCACCTTCTTCCTCTGAGCAGGATCTTTCATGGAATCCATTACAGACAGATTGCCAGCAGCTTGTCTCCAGCTACACAGTACTGCGGCACAGGCATGCACTTGACCAACCCCCACCCTTACTTGAGTGCTAGGGTCTGAACTCAGGGCTTCAGTCTTGCACAGCATGCACTATTTTGTTTTTCGAGACAGAGTTTCTCTGTGTTGTTTTGGAGGCTGTCCTGGAACTCGATCTGTAGACCAGGCTAGGCTGGAATTCACAGAGATCTTGCCTGGGATTAAAGGCATGCACCACCAGCACCCAGCCCACAGCATGCACTCTTATTTGCTAAGCCATCCTCATTCTGATTGTTTACTTTTTATTATCTTTGTGCTTCCTGTTCCCAATTAGTTTTTTTATCACTCTATTTTATTATTTAAGTAATAATAAAATATTAAACCAGACTGGCTTCCACCTGCTTCTGCCTCCGGAGTGCAGGGATTAAAGGCTTTCTTCGCCACATCCAGCTCTTTTCTGATTATTCTACAAAAGAAATATGTTTGAAACACATCAGAGAAAACTAAGAAATATGTAGTGCTCATGGACGTAAGATACTATAAAATGGTGGTTCTTTCTAAGTGGGTCTATAAATTAAATGTATCTTATTCTCTAATTATTTCGCTGTGTAATTTAACAAGCTAACTTGAATGAAAAATGTATTAACCAGAAATGGCAGAACAGACTGGTGATTGTGGTGCTGAGCAGACAGGCAGAGAATCAAGAATTTGAAGCTACCTGGACTACAGCAAGACTACTTGGGATTCATAACAAGACTGTGTCAAAGAAATATTTAGGGTTTAAAGCACCAAGAGAATATAGCTAGACTATAAAAAATACGATATTTGTTTAATTCAGAGGGAATTGGTCTTCTGAAAAGTCTTGCTCTGCTACTTGGTATGTAATTTAATCTTGGATGTCTGTAGTTTCCTCAAGTGTAAAATGGGCCAAACTGCATTCTTCACGGTTTTTTAGACAGCAGCTCTCCTGCATACACATTAAACCACACTATGGCTAATTCTGAGCCATTCAGCCTGATTACAGCTATAATTGCTCCCTGTTCTTTAAGGTATTTATTGAATTGGCATGTAGACCGCTCTTGTCAGCACTTTATGGGGGGTGAGCACACAAGTTGGTGTGTGTGTGTGTGTGTGTGTGTGTGTGTGTGTGTGTGTGTGTGTGTGTGTGTTATTTTGAGGTGGAGTCTCCACCTGCCCAATAGGAAAGTTTTTAACTTAAACATTTTGGTGTGATTATTACTATTATTATTATTTGGTTTTTCAAGACAAGGTTTCTCTGTGGCTTTGGAGGCTGTCCTTGAACTAGCTCTTGTAGACCAGGCTGGTCTCGAACTCACAGAGATCTGCCTGCCTTTGCCTCCCCAGTGCTGGTGTGATGATTTTTTTTTTTTTTTGGTTTTTTGAGACAGGGTTTCTATGTAGCTTTGGAGGCTGTCCTGGAACTCACTTTGTAGATCAGGCTGGCCTCGAACTCACAGAGATCCGCCTGCCTCTGCCTCCCGAGTGCTGGGATTAAAGGCGTGTGCCACCAATGCCCAGCTGGTGTGATGATTTTTTTAATGAAACTATAATTGCTAAGGAGGACAGGAAGGCAAACAAGTGTGTTTCAAGGAGACAAGTCAAGATCAGAAAGCTCACCTAAGCCAGTAGTGGTGGCACACACCTTTAGTACCAGTACTCAGGGAGGCAGAGGCAGGTGGATCTCTGAGTTCGAAGCCAGCCTGGCTTACAGAGTGAGTTACAGGACAAACAGCTACACAGAGAGACCCTGTCTCAAAAAAAAAAAAAAAAAAAAAAGGCAAGAAAGACAGCAAAGAAAAATAAAAAGAAAGCTGCTCACCCAGAGAGAAGGCCTTACCACACTTAGTATCAATACAAGCCTCAGACCTCAGACAGCAGACAGCAGCTTCCCTAACCTTAACAACTAACTCACAGTGCAAAGAGAGCCACACTTAATAGCTAACCTTTAGAAACCAAAGGTTACAGCTGCAGTCCTGCCCAGAAGAAAAAGTTCTGTGACAGAGGGAAACATTCCCATCTATTATAATGAGGAATTTATTGGTAATCATAGAATTATCCCACTGTGCATAGGTTGGTGCTTTCCTGGCACTTACGTCAAAGGCGAAGTCACCAGCAGTTCAAACTCAATGGAAAGAGACTCTCACCTCTGCAGACGTTTGTGGGTTCTGGAACGTAGCATAAGTAATAAGCGAACTCGAACCTATAACACTGAGAGACAAAGACCATTGGCCATTACAATACAGTGGTAAGACTGTCATTTTTATAATTTATTGGCATAATTGACATAAAATATACATACATTTTTAAATTTAGAGTGCTTTGTAAATATTCATGCTACCCTTGTCTAGGGTCATGCCAATCTTCTCTGTATCATTCCAATTTCTCTTACTATGTAGCCTCTGATGGCCTAGAATCCACTGTGTAGACCAGGCTGGCCTCAAACTCACAGTGATCCTTCTGCTCAGTCCCCCAAGTGCTGAGATTAGATGTGAGCAACCATGTTCACCTTCCTCCCAATGGCTAACCACGCAGTGCTGAGGTGAGAGCGTGGTGCAGGTCTGCGCCAGTCCTGCTGATTTCAAATGAGAGCCCTCCCTCTGTTTCTTTTTTCTCGATTCTTGCTTCCACTAGGTGTAGATGTGGTAACCCATCAGAGGAGGGAGGCCAGAGGTCAATGTCAGTGTCTTCCTCTATTACTTCCCACCTTAGTTTTTAGACAGCCTCTCTCGCTAACCCTGGAGCCCCCGAGATCCTCGGTCTCTGTCTCTCAAGACTGAGACAACAGGCAGGTAACAACAAGGCAGACTTTTCAGCTGGTAGTCCCAACTCAGCTTCTCATGCTTAGGAAGCAAGTACTTTATTCACTAAGCCATCTTCCCAGGCCCCATACCTTCTACCAGTGAAGAAATATCAACATAGGAAAGAATTTCTAGCTAAAAGTAAAATGCAACCCTCAGGAGCAAGGTGTGGAAAGCTACACAGCTCTCCAGTATGCTCATGCAATTTCCAGCGTCATGTGATACGGGACTGAAAAAACATACCTCAGAGTAGCTGTGGCAAATTGTATCCACTGTATCGCAGGAAAAAACTAAACAAAAGAGAGAAAAAAGTCAATCTCTTACATTTAATGTTCAATCTGACTTCCGTTTCAATGTTTATTAACCATCTCTTCAACACAGACCTTCAAACCCACTCCAGGACTGGGAAGGAATGAAATCTGAGCAGACCCGTGGGAAGGCAGGGCCTGGCTGCCCTCAACCCAACTCCTTACAAAACAGTCAAATTTTAGAAGAAACAGAGCAATGTGCGGGAAGTGAATGAATGAGAAAGTGAAGGCGAGAAAACTACAAGAACAAAACAACAGAGAGAGAGGAAAGGCTAATGTTTAAGGGAGAGCAGACAGAATGAAGCCCTAACAAGAGAATGCTAAGTGAAGCTGACTGACAGAGAGTTAAAAAGACAAAGGGGGAATGATCAAGGGGCAACGTTATTAGTATGGAGAAAGCCACCGTGAGTAAAGCCCAGAACAGAGACAAGAAAGGAGCGGAAGGGGGAGGGGAAGGACGACCAGCATTTGACCTTACAGTGTCCCAGCTGCCTTCCAGAGGGCTGCTCTCCAGTGGGAAGGCCATGAGGGTCTGAGTCCCAGCCGCCCTCCCGCCCAGGCCCTTCTCAGTCAGGCTCCCAGGCTCCAAACAGGTAGCTCCACCCCTACCTCAGCTGGGCTCCACCCCACCTAACCCTGCCCTGTACCTCAGGGCAGGAGGCAGAAGGGCCAAGGAGAAGGGCAAAAACAGAGACAGCAGGTGCCAGAAGAAGCCAAGCTGTACAAACAGTAGAGAAAGAAAAGAAAAGAAACATCTGAAATGTTAAGGAGCAAGAGGAGGGAGTAATAAAAAGCAGATAAAGTTGCAAAAGAGAAGTACAACAGGAAAAAGGGAGAGAAAGATATGGGGTAAACAGAGGCCCATTAATTTATCCCTTTTTGAGGACAAAATGATGAGAAAGATGATGGCACATTCAATCAACAAACTTTTAGTGATAGTGAAAATCTAGAAGAGAATAGGTTTTTGTTTGTTTGGTTGTTTTTTTTTTTTCTCTCTCTTTTTGGCTTTTTGAGGAAGGGTTTCTCTTGATAGTCTTGGCTGTCCTATGCTGATCAGGCTGGCCTCGAACACAGAGAGATTCGCCTGCCTCTGTCTCCTGAGTGCGGGAATTAAAGGCATGCGCCACCGCCACCACTACCATTACTGCCCAGTGAGAGAGGTTATTAATGTTTGTTTTATTCAGTATTAGCATATTAAATACTATTTTACATAATGCCATTTACTCGGCACACTTAAGTGTAATCAATTTTGTATAAACCAATGTATTATAGGAGACACAATGATAAACAAAATCTAGGTGAAGCCTTCCAGGAGCTTGTAACACAGTTGGGAATGGTTTAAGCAGCAAGAAACAGTCTGAACAGTGCAATGATATGTAGAACAGCATGTGGACAGTGTTTGGGGGAGTCTGACAGAGCCTGGAAGAGAGGAAACACAAGAACACTTACTGCTTTCATTATACTCTCACACGTTCAGCGAACATCTCTCTCGTGTGTCTAAGTGCTGGGGACTGTGCTCAGGGCCTGGGCCAAATGTCACACAAGCATGCTGACCACTGAGCATTGTCCCAGCTCTTCAATATTGTAACAAACACTTGCATAGCTGGAATGATCTAAATGCATGGTGTTCATATCAGACTGAAAGCACGGTCTAGCATGGAAGGTCAGACATTTTTAAGAGGAAGATTTCATTTAATAGCTTGTCTTAAACAAGTAATCAAATTTCTGGGAGACATCTACACCAAAGATCAAGTCTTGGGAACATCTGGAGGTCTCTAATCATGTCTACCTACTGAGGGTGTGGAGACTAATGACAGTGTCACTGGATGATAAGAAAATGCTCTTGAACAAAAGACTCTTCTGTTTCTCAAGACAAATCTCAGATTGTTTAAAGAACTTTTCCCTTTGGCATATTGCTAAAGCGTCTATGCCACCTTCCTGCACAAATGCATGTGTGTCTGTGTGTGCATACACATACATATTGAAAGACCCCTACCCAGGGCCCCCCTAGGAAAAGAAAAGCAAGGCCAGGCCGTTGCCTAATGAAAGAAACCCAGACCAGGTGTCTCACCCTCAAAACAGGATGTCTGTGATCACTATAGCAGTCATGGGACCCGGATAATAATTGCTGAAGCGTGCTGGGAACTTTCATATGACAATACTAGAAAACCTAGTCCTTGGCAACTACCCTGGCCCCCAATTGTGTCTGATCACTATAGCAATCATGGGACCCGGATAATAATTGCTGAAGCGTGCTGGGAACTTTCATATGACAATACCAGGACACCTAGTCCTTGGCAACTACCCTTGCCCCCAGTTGTGTCTATGATCACCATAGTAGTCATGGGACCAGGATAATAATTGCTGAAGTATGCCTGGGTCTTTCATAAAGTAATACCAGGAAACTTAGTCCGTGGGAACTACCCCTGCCCCCAAGATGAGCCAATGAAATGCCTGTTACTTATGTAACCATTGAAACTCTATAAATATTGTACTCCCTGAAAGCCCGGTATGCTCTGCACCCGAGTTGCAGTAGCATCCGCAGGCGCCTGTGTACTCAATAAATCACCTCTTGCATTTGCAGCCAGTGGTCTGGCCCCGGTTCTTGGGCAGAGGGTTCGGTTCAGTGCCCGGCGCTTTGATGCTGAGGTTTTACAATATATGTATGTGCACATGTGTCTGTATGCATGCTTGTATGTGCATGTGCACACCTTAATGTACATGTGTACTTTCCCTTTGGAAACAGAACTTCTTTTACTACAAAATTAATCCAAACTCCATTAATGAAATCAGTCATATTCAGTCTTTGCTTCTGTGTGTAAAAGCTCTGCTGTTGATATGTATGTGTCTTCATGTGTGGTTCTGAGATTGAACCCAGGAGCTTGTGCATGCCAGACAACTGCCCCACTCCAGTCCCATCCTTTTTTCTAAAAAGCTCTATCACAAGTTCAGGTGCATGTACCTTCAGTGGCCATGATGGGCACAGCATGTTACATATAGATATATGTAACAGGAATTCATTAAACTTCTCAAAGGTATATATGTTGTTTTGTTGTTGGCATTTCTGTTCTTGCTTTGAAATAGGACCTCACTGTTTCTGCAGCCCTATCTAGCCTGAACATGCTATGTAACTTAGGATGGTCTTGAATTTGTAACAACCCTGCCTCTACCTCCAGGGTACTGAAACGACAAATATGAGCCACAATATCTAGCCTGAAGGCTTTACAGTGGTAATAACAACAAGCTTTTAAGTGGTTTCTATGTATAAAGATCTATGCTGTGGTTTTTTGAATGTAGTTGAGCCCCATAATCTCACAGAGTGTAGAATGTGGTGGTTTAGAAAATGGCTGCCAAAGGGAGTGTCACTGTTAGGAGATGTGATCCTGTTGGAGGAAGTGTGTCACTGTGGGGGTGGGCTTTGAGTTCTCCTATGCTCAAGCTACTCCCAGTGCCACAGTCCACTTCCTGTTGCCTTATGCACAAGATGTAGCCAGCACCATGTCTGCCTACATGGCCCCATTTACTGCCATGATGATAATGAACTAAACCTCTGAAGCTGCAAATGACCACCTCAATTAAATGTTTTCTTTATAGGAATTTCAGTGGTCCTAGTGTGGCTTCACAGGAATAGAAACCCTAACTAAGACATATGCTAACATTTTAGTCCTTTCCACAAATTTTTTTTTTGGTTTTTTGAGACAGGGTTTCTCTGTGACTTTGGAGGCTGTCCTGGAACTCGCTCTGTAGACCAGGCTGGCCTCGAACTCACAGAGATCCACCTGCCTCTGCCTCCCGAGTGCTGGGATTAAAGGCGTGCGCCACCAACGCCCGGCCACAAATTTTTTTCAAGACAGGGTTTCTTTGTGTAGCCCTGGACATCCTGAAACTAACTCTATAGACCAGGCTGGCCTTGAATGTATCTGGGATTTGGACAGAGCAGCTGGTAAGAAATTTAATGATATAAAAATAACAAACTTTGCGCCAGGCAGTGGTGGTACACACCTTTAATCCCAGCACTTACGAGGCCGAAGCAGGCAGATCTCAGTGAGTTTGAGGCCAGCCTGGTCTACAAAGTGAGTTCTAGAACAGCCAGAGTACCTGTAAAAAACCCTGTCTCAAAAAACAAAACAAAACACTTTAGACTTAGTATTACAATTAACACCATTTCCTGCACAAATAAATTCTGGTCACCATCTATATCTATGTGCTTTAGTAACACAGGTGAGAAGTCAAATTCTTCAGCCATCTCCCTTCCATAGGCTCAAGAAGGCTTGTTTCCAGGAGCCTGTACATGGCTTCTGCCACTGGTAAAAACTAGGCATAATTTGTTTGTTCCCTTGACACAGTGTGTAAACAACTAAGTGCTCTTGTAGGTTTCCCAACAGGAACCATATAATTTGGCCAGGACATGCTTTGCGGTTCCTGTAGCCTTCACTGGCGTCACAGGAATCTTTACAGCATGGGGATTCTGGGTACACCTGACCTGTGGGCAAAACTGTAAGGTATTGTATTTTTTGCCTCCTGGTTCTGAATCCATATGAATGAGACCCAGACAATGAACAGGGTTCTCATCCTCACCAGTGAATAAGTTATTCTGCACTTGGACCCTTCCCACAGTGGCACTTCAGCAAGTAGAATCCTCCAAAAAACAAAACAAAACAAACCGCCACTGTCTGAGTCTGGGTTTCTACTGTCACAATGGTGGGAAGCATGGAGGCACTCTGGCACATGTGGTGCTGTCGAGGTAGCTGAGGGTTCTACATCTGGAGCCAAATGCATCAGAAATAGACTGAGACACACTTCTTCCAACAACACCACACTTCCTAAGAGTGACATGCCCTATGGACCACATGGAGGACATTTTTATTCAAGTCACCACAAACATAAGCAACAAAAACCCAAACATTAGCAATGATTGCAGTTATTCCCATTTCAAACTCATTCATTTCCACAGCCACATAGCTACTAGGAAAGTCAGTGGA